CAATTTGGAAAATCTGATCTGTAGAGCTTAAGTCTGGGCCTTCAAGCCACATTTTACAAAGTGCTTACTTACCACAGGTCATTGTCCCACGCCAGGGCACTGGATGGAAGGGTGAGGCAAGGGCAGTCCTTTGGCCCTTCCTATGGCCGCCTCTTCCTCCACTATGTGCATATAGTAAGAGAGGAAATTTGCCAGTTGTTTCTCTTTTAACAAAATGATATTTTATCTTATCTCTTTCATTAAGTCCTTTTCTCTTTCTTTTTATTTGCCTTTGTCTTTTTCTTAGAGCATTTCTACCTTCCAAATGCAAAATACCAAGTTTATTTTACCAAATTAGGTAAAGGGGATAGTGTGTGGCTGACCATACGTAGAAAGCATTGTGAGTTCTTTCCCTAGAGAGATTCACCAGGATATACCCGCAGCTCGGTCATTTTCCTCTGATGCCCGCGAATTTTCCAGCTGCTGGTCAGGGGGAAGGAGGGCTAAGTTGGTAGCTGTGAAGTAACGAGAAGGTGGTTGGCTTCTCCTCAGCATCTTGGCTTCAGTAACACCATATTGCAGCCAATTGAGCTAACTAGGTGCACTTGTTAGAAGAAAGATTGTGCCTTTCTGAAGAAATATGCCAAAATTTCTGCTTCAACCCCCGGCAACAGATCCTTTTGGTCGTCTTTAGTGAAAGGCCATTTGGGAAATGGACTGTACAAGCAGCAAATAGGATTTCAGTTAAATGGTAACATTTGTTTCCAAAAGAGTACCAGAGGGGAAGCTAAGCTCTTCAGAGCATGTGTTCATTAAAGATTTGAAGTGGGGTGGGAAGCAATAAAAAAAAAAAAAAAAAAAAAAGGCCAGTGAGTTCTCTTGTGAGATAGTTTTTTGTTCCTATGAATTGAACGCCCTCTGAAAAGTTTCAAAAAGAGACTGGGAAGAATGTATTTGCTTTGATCCAATATGTGGAGGGTTCCCTACTACAAATACCCCTTAATTTAGAAGCATTATTGAAAAGTCTGTTTCAAAGTGCAAAGAAATATAATATGTAAATAAGGTCTAATTAGTTATTTCAATTAATTATTTTTTGTCTCTGCTTTAGCTCTGTTTTCCTCCCCTTAATGTCTCTTGTCAGAGTGTAGCTTTGCCATCCAAAAAAATGTGTTTTTCTAGTAGTCGTTATTAGGAAACCTTTTTTTTGCCCTGTTGAGAACACAACGATAAAGTAAAATCCAGATCGTGTATCTTTATAGGGAATCATTTCAGACATTTTTAGTCTATGATTTGCTAGTATATATATTTTTAAAGATTTTATTTATTTATTCATGAGAGACACACAGAGAGAGGCAGAGAGACAGGCAGAGGGAGAAGCAGGCTCCATGCAGGGAGCCCGATGTGGGACTAGATCTTGGGACTCCAGGATCATGCCCTGGGCCTAAAGGCTGACGTCCAACCACTGAGCCACCCAGGCTGCCCACTAGTATGATATTAAAGAAGGAAATCTTACAGTTAATTGAAAGAATAGGTGTTTCCTTCTTCAAATAAAGGGTAGGTGTTGCTTTTTGGAAAATGAATCTGTATAAGGCCACTAGCCTCTAATCTTGATATTCCTATGTTCTTTCAGTATCAAATACTACATTGGATTTGGAGATTAAACTTTTAATTCTAAACTAAATAAGATGATTCTCAGTAGGGACAGTGAATGCTCTGCGAAAAACACCGGTAAAATGAACTGAGGTTCTTTCTATATAGCAGATTTTTAGAAATTGACTAAGAACCTGAAACGTTGATTTTGGAAGCCTAGAACATAAATTACATGACAAATTATGAGCTTTTCACTTAGGGGTCTGTACACCCTCTGCACTTGAATAGAATTGGGATTTTAGAGCTTGGAGAGACTTCTGCAGTCACCTAGAAAACAAGGAGCCATCGTCAGCTTCTCCCCACCAGGGTCTCAGGTGGTAGTTGGCTGATTGGGCAGAAATGTAGGTTCCTGAGCCCTAATCCAGATCTGCAGAATCGAGGTATGTGGATAGGAGTTGGGGTGGGGGAGAAGAAAGTATTTTTCACAAACATCTCCAGAAAATTCTGACCCTCACTGAATATAGGAAACCACTGATTTAGGCTGGCCTCTTTATTTTGAGAGTTTGATGGGTCAAGTTCACAGTGTGTCCTACACAAGAACAGGCTTTCTAACTCTAGACTTGTGCTTGTCTATACACCATGTATCCAAAATAGTCCTAAGCATGCAGATAGGTTCAAACCTACTTCTGGGTCCTTAGGGGTGATTTCAGCATGGAAAGTAGGAGAGCATGGTTCTAAATATGGTATGAAGGTAAAGACACCCAAGAGCTAGGAGTTTATGTGGTGTTAGCTTCTTTCTAACATAAAACCTGAGTGAGCCCTAGCCACGTCTCTCAGCTCTACTTTGATGAACCTGGAAACTAGTGCAGTGGTAAGAATGCTTAACTCATTATAGTTGCACCCCCAACATGTTAGGCTTTGGACCTGTGTGCCTGCTTGATATACATGTTTTAAGACCAGTACTTTCTTAAAATGCACATTTATGTATTTTAATATTGCTTATGTATGTTGCATCTAAAAATTATAATAAAGTCATTAAAAATTATAGACTGATAAACCCAGTAATACCCACTAAATCATATAAATATCCAGCAAGTGCTTACTGATGCTAATTACATCCAAAATTCAAACAATCAAAAAACTAAAGTGACCTGAATTTATTTTTGGTGTGTTATGGTGTGTTTTGTGGTGAGAGGTTTAAACTCTGGAATTCAGTGAGGTGAAAAAAATAAAAATAAAAAATAAACTCTGGAATTCCTACAAGACCATGATCATTTTCTAAATCATTAGGAACGACTGAGTTTTATTCGTTGTCATTTCAGTGTTAAGTCAATTTGACCATCAGCAAATTTTGGGAAACAGCAATATCCCAGTCTCTAGGATATGTCAAGTTCCACTGAATTCTCTTCCATAGTCCATATATGAACACATGAGTAATGTGTAATTCCTAGAATGAGCAGCATATTTTTCAAGAGGTTATTAACAAAAGTACGCTGTTTAAAAAGTGACCAGGTTAGGAGGATCAGTTCTAGAATCCTTACGAGAAATTAAAATCTCTTTACACAGGTGTATGTGTGTCAAATAATATTCAGTTTGTCATCCTTTCTACACAAACAGTTATTAATAGTCTGCTGTATGTTAAGCTCTGTGTTACGTACTAAGGGTAAAAAACAGATCTGAGGAGTTTATAGAATGGTTCTTGCTGGACAAGCACATAAAAAGGCATAGTAGTTTCAGGAAGTATGTGCTAAGTGCCAGATGAGCAATAACGCAGCCAGTGAGTGCAGCAAACAGCATTCCAGTGCTCATAGCCTAGTCATTGTGATGGCCTCTCCTCTGTGCAATAGCAGCAACATGTGTATTCCGTTCTTCTTTATCTATTGCACATATCCCATTGCTCAGCCTTTTTGAAAAACAGGAGCTTGTCCTGATTTTGCTGCTACTCAGTAGAAAGGAAATAACCTTTCCAGGAAGGAACACTATGAAGCTTCTGAAGCATAATACTGATATTTTACTTACTGTCTTTCAGTACCTCTTATCTTTAAAAACAATAGGATCTAATTCTCTTCCTGGAGAATGCACTGTGAAATTGTTTGATTACTGATACCATTTTATTTGTGCTGAAAATGAAAGTCCTTTGAGTTTTGTGATATTTTCATTCATGTAGTTCATGTGAATCAGTTTCTTCTTCGCTTAGCAGTTTGTTAAATAATTACTGGAGCCCCTTTAATGGAAATGAGGTGCATTAGTGATGGTGATGGTGGTGATGAAGAGGAGGAGGAGGATTAAGAGTAAATCATTTTGTACCCTTATCATGAAATAGGCTTAATGTGAGATTTCTTTGATCAGTACAGTTCTTGATCCAGCCATGAAATGGGCCACATGGAAGGGTTTCTGAAATGAAAGCAGTAGATCAGAAATACCAGGATAATGTTGCTGTTTGTATAATCATGATCACCTGTTCTGGGCTGCCAGGATTTTGTCCTTTGGACTGTGATAGAATTTCTATACTCACCAAGAAAAGGTAGTTCCTCCTACCTAAAGAAAAAGAATGACTTCTTTGTGACAGGGCCAAGATTATTACCATTCCCCCTGAGAGTCTCAGGACAGTACTCACAGAATCATGGATTTCCTTGAACATAAAAAGGGTCTTAGCAAGGACTTGCAAGCAGCCACTGGTCTTAAGTAATGGGCAGGATTTGGCAAAGTGGAAATCAGAGAAGAGGGTGTTGTGTAAGGAGAAGTAATTATGTGCCAGCATGTGGAGGATGGAATGAGCACACTGTTTATTTGAGGAATAGTGAGGAGAGTTCTCGGATTGCAATAAAGAAGTTATATTCCCATTGGAGAGTAGTAGGAGGAGGTAGTTGGAAAGGTGATACAGGGGCCAATCGAAGGACAGATTTCTTCCATTGACTATGTAAGTGAAGGAAAGCCACATAATCAGTTTTTAGAATCATTTTAAACTCAGACAAGTGACAAGCTAAGAGCCAAATCCAAACTCCACCTCTTACTAGGTGGGTGACCTCAGACAAAATTCTTAACTTAGCTGACATCATCTCACAGAAATGTGCCTGGTGAATAAGATCCTTGATGAGAAGCCCCCAGCAAAATGTCTGGTGGTAAAAATAGAGTTTATGAGGAGAAGTGAGGTGCTAATAGTGGGGTTGTAGAAAGGCTGATCTCTGACATCTGTCTGCAGAAGACATAAGGAGACGAGAAACGGGACCAGCTAGGTGCCAGTTATGGCAGTGCCTTAGGAGGTGAGGGGGTGGAGCCTATCAGGCTAGGAAGAGGAGGACACATTTCTACATGTATTCTCACAAGTTTTTTTTTCCCCTGTTGTGGACTTTTGTTTGAGGGTTGTATAACTTTGTTCTGTGATGTTAAAAGTACAACACTAATCATAGACTCTCTTTTGCCTTGGACAGGATGTCAACGATCCATAGGCCTTTCCAATGGGAAAGCCAAGGTGTGCAATTACAGTGGGTGGTATTACTGCAGCAACTGCCATGTGGACGACAGTTTTCTCATCCCAGCACGCATAGTTCACAACTGGGATACTTCAAAATATAAGGTAAGTACAGAACCTCAGTTTACTTCATAATAGCAATGTAGGTATTCAGCTATTGTTTTGTGGGTTATAAAAATAATGACCTAAGAATTTGAAGCAAACTTGACTAGGTAGTCTCATAAAAGCTACAAGATCTTATCTAATGGTTCTTAAATATCTCACATTTAAAGGTGTAACTATGACTTATTAATTTCCTCATTTAAAAAGATAATATAGCAGTTTTTACTTCTGGGCCTCGAAAATGAACTATGGAATGCTAAAAAAGAATTCTGATAGAAAAAGAGGCCTCCCTTATTTTTTATTAGATCTTATCTCCAAAATCAGAACACTCTCAGAGGATAAAAACAGGAAAATAATGCAACAGGAAAGTAGCATACTGGTGACTTCTGAAGGAGAGGACTTAATATAATTCAAGATATTTCTTAGAGTAGCACTCCTACTCATTTGAACGTCAGTCTTCCAGCAAGTCCATCTCCCCTGGAATTAGAAACTGGAGAAAAGCTATGAGGATTTCTCGGTGGCGGTCCACACCAAGGAGCAGTGCACTGAGCCACTCTTCACCTGGAATGTTGTTTACTTTTCAAAAAGGGAGGAAGTGAGAAGCACAGGTATATGCTAACAGCTTTGCAAAGTAACTGCTAACAGCCAAGCAGGTTATCCCAGAAGTACAAATAACAGACTTGGTAGCTGTAAAAGTGCAAGTCAACAGAGGAGGAGAGGAAGTCTGAGCACCAGGACACTCACCTTAAGAGGGTAGAGAGGAGAGGAGCAAACAGTGCACAGTGAGGGAGAAGGACCCAAGGGTGTCCAACCAGCCACACATAGAACAGGTCTTCAGATCACTTGTGACAGAGGCTACATAGGTCAGTTAAGATGAACCCTGAGAATTGACCATAGGATTTAGGAATGTGGAGGTAATGAGTGACCTTCATGAGAGCAGTTTGAATTGAGCAGTGGCAGTGACGCTCTGATGGGAGTGAGTTTGACATGGAACAGGAGAGGAACAAGAGACAAGGACAAACAGCTCCCGAGAAGTTTTGCTCTAAGGGGATGGAGAGGTGTGAGGAGTAACGAGAGGGGAAGTAGGATGAAATTGGGTTTGATTTTTGGAAGAAATAACAGCATATTTTCTATGCTGATGTGGACTACCTAGGAGAGAGAGAATTGCTAGAATGATGTGGTTGAGTAAGAATCGTGTAGACAGTAGGAGGGTTGCCCTTTGCTTGGAGCAGGAAGTAAGAGAAAAGGCAGAGTCTGTGGATGTAGGTGCCAGTGGGGAGCTTGGGGAAGTCCTCTTCCGTTTTCATCAGTAGCTGTCATCACATTGATTTATTTCAGCACCTGTGATCCTAAAGAGATGAAACACCGAGCCCCAGTCACTCTGGGAAGTGCCTTTACCTTCTATTTCATAGCGATATAGGAGTGATTGGGCAGTAATTCTGACAACCCTTTTCTAAACTTGTCCACATCTACACCCATCCTCCTCGTCCTCCTTCCAGCCACAGAAGAAACATCACTCCTTCTATGGAAAGTTTATTCCTTCTGCCTCTGCTCATGATCTTAGCTCCTCCGTCAGTTTTGCCAAATGTGATTGATCCTCATCAGTTTCTTGTTCTACTGGACTTCTCTGGGATATACTATTTGACCAGGAATTCTCCTGGTTCTCCTCCTACCCTGAACTCTTTTTCCTCTCACCTTATCTGATTCTTTGTCTTCTGCCTACACCTTTCATGTTGCAGTTCCTTGGCTTCATTTTTTGTTTCCTTTTCCCACTTTATACTCTGTTGCATTATCTCTTTTCTCTTTCATGGTTTTAACTCCCTGATGATTCCTACTTTTATCTCCAACTCCAGTTTTGCTACTAAAAAGGAGATCTGTGGATTTAATTGCTAAATGACATCTTAGCTCTAACTTTCAACCTGGTAGTCTTCAAGGTTTGTGAATCATACTGCACTCATTAGCTGCACTATACTGCAGTTCCCCCGATGCATAAACAAGGCAGAATTTGGCAAGTCAGGGAATCTAAGCCACTGAAGTACTCTAGGCCTAGGATTCTTTTGTGGTCCTGTGTTGGGCCCGAATTCTGGTACCTGACTGACTAGAAGCTTTTCTGATTCTTCTGCCAGAATGCTGTCCATCTGCCTTGAATATACCTTCCATGCAAAGTGCTTTGTCCAAACATAGTCCATATGACTGCTTTTATACCTCCTTGCTAATAGATGTGTGACACTTGCTTTCAATGTAACCTGGGAGCAAGGTAAGTGGGGAAGGGACTCATAACTGTCCCCTATCTGTAATTTTTGAAATCTAAAACAAACATGAAAATTGTGAGGGGCTATTTGGCTGACACCCTTTCTATATCCCTGGGCAGCTCTGTCTCCTGGTCAATCCAATAACCATCCACATCTTCACTGTCTTCAGGGTGCCTCATCCCTGTCCTTTTCAGCATATGACCTTGCCTCTACTTCAAGGACAACACTGAAATTACAAGATACGGATATGAATTCCTACAAGTGTATCTGTATTTGTACCTGTCCTTACTGCTTCCCCTATCACAGGAAAAAGAGCCCTTTTCTCCTGTTTAGAGAGCATCCTTCCACATGTACTATGGGTACTGTTATCCATAGGGGGAACTCTTCTTCATTCTTCCAGAGCTGATAAAAGCATGTCCTCTTTGGCAACATCTTTCCTGATATTCCTACCCTATCCTATTTGCTGCATTGTTGGCTCTCTCCTTCGTGCCACCACTACCATGTGTGTGTCTCTATAATTACTCTTAGTTAGGGGCTTAGTAGCAGCAGCTTGGAGTTAAACAGGCATTTGTCCAAATCCTACTTCCACCTCTTATTCGGGGCTTGATTTTCTGGGACAAATTACTTGAACTTTCCTGAGCCTCAGTTTCCTACTTTGTAAAATGAACCCAGACTCCCTAAGTTCAGGTTTTGTCTTGGCCATTTATTAGCTGTCTAACCTGGGCAAGTTATGTTGTCTCCCTATGTTTGAGTGTCCTCATCTGTAAAATGAGTACATTAATAACACTTCATAGGACCACTGCTGGTTACATGGGTTCATACATGTCAAGTGTTTAGAATAGTGCCTAGGACATAGTGTGTGTCGAATAAGGATTCATTCTTATTGTAACTCCGATAGTTACCTACAAAAGTCACGTGAATAGGGTAAATAGGACCGGCTATCTGCAGATAATCCTGGTAAGTGCTTAAATGGTGGAAGCTGTTTTAATTATTTTCATAATCCTCACATTTATGCTGCCCTTCTCTGTGTGCTCCCTGGACACAGGGAACCTGTCTCAGTAGTTTCTGGCATGTGGTACATAAGCAAGAATGTACACTGAATCAGTGAGGGGATGAGGCCTATCTTATGGGCCCCTCTAACTCAATACCTCCCAAATCAGCTTCATCACCCTCATAACATGTCCCTCCGGAATGTCTGTGGTCCCACCAGTCCCCATTGCCAGCACTGGGAGATAGCTTGGGCTCTTCCCTCTGCCACCCCCGCCCTATCTAATCAGTTAGCATAAGTCAACTGCTGGCTTTACACTCTTCTGCCCCTGTGATCCCACCCCACGAACTCAAACCTTCGGCGTCACTCCCATGAAGGAGTTTGGTAGCCTCCTAACTGCTTCTTGCCTGCAAGTTTTGCCCTAGCAGTGGTTCAGAAAACCCTAATCTTGCCATGGGTAAGTTTTGTACTCTGTCTCAGTCTCTTCACCTTTTCGAATGGAGGTGTTGATGATAGTAACCACTTCATAAGATTGCTGTTTGCTTAAAACAACAACTCAGGGATCCCTGAGTGGCGCAGCGGTTTAGCGCCTGCCTTTGGCCCAGGGCGTGATCCTAGAGACCCGGGATCGAATCCCACGTCGGGCTCCCGGTGCATGGAGCCTGCTTCTCCCTCTGCCTGTGTCTCTGCCTCTCTCTCTCTCTCTCTCTCTCTGTGTGTGCCTATCATAAAAAAAAAAAAAAAAAAAAAACGACTCAGAGAAAGCCCCTAGCACAATGGGTGCTTGGCTAATGCCAGCTTTTACTATGATTGTATACAAGTTAAACACAAATCTCTTAGCCTGGGATCTCTCATTCCTGCTCTTCTAGCCCCTTCATGCGCTACCTCCCTGCCTCCATGAGCATCCTAGTCCTCAGTCCTGCTGTGCTGGTTCCCACCTCTCATCGTCCCCTTGCCCTCATTCAGTGTGGCAAGCCCTAACTGAGCCTGTCTTAAACTTCATTTCCTTTCCCAGACGGAGTTATCATTCTCTCCTCTGCATCTTGTACTTGACACTCTGAATATCAGCTATAAATATATTTGCCTTGTGTGTATTAGATAACAATGTATTTAGAGGGAAAGAATGCTGGTTGAGTTTGGTTTAGATTATTTAGATTAATCTGCTTATAGCAGGACTTTGGCAGCTAAGAGAGGTGTACAGAGAGCAAGTTAGGGAGGCATTGCCAGCCCCGTGGTCACCCAGAGCTTAGGCTAGTGACACCTGCCAACAGAAAGAATATGTACCACTCCGAGGAGTTAAAACAGAAGAGGTGGCACTAAATGAGGAAAATTTGAAAATCAGACATGGCTTATGGAGATGTGAAATGGTAGAGGAAATCCAGATCTGTTTGTAGTGAGCTGTAAAGGCCACTGAAACCATCAGTTTAGCTGTCACTGACGCTTGCAGCCTTTTTTTCTAGAGCAGACATTTTGCCATGCTGGTCATTGACAAGGTTTAATTTGAGAGGATAAGTAACTCACTGAAGGTGTTAGGTACCCTCGCTTCATCCATGTTGTACATAAGGAAAATCTCCTTTGTCAGACCTAACTTGCAAGGTTCTCAGTGGACCAGGGAAGATTTTAAAGCAACAACAGAGCTGGTCAATTTTATCAGGATCATCTCTCACTGGCATTAAGTAACTATATTCCATTTAGTCCAGGATCTGTTTGTCTTTGCTCAGACACCAGGATTTAACTTAATGTTTCTAATTGTGAGGATCAAT